GGTCCGGGCCTTCCCCCCCCTCCCCCCATTTTTTTGCCCCCCCCCCCCCCCCCCCCCCCCGGTTGTTCCTTCTTTTGGGGGAGGGGGGGTTAAGGTTTTACCGGTTAGGGCAGAAAAACCAGGAGCCCCCCCCCCCCCCGTTCCTTCCCTGCGAAAGGTATCATGCCACGTCCATGCATAGTACTGAACCCCTACCCCCCCTGCCCCCGGCTCCGCCCTCTCGAGAGGGCGCATGGTCAATGGTCTAACAACTAAGGCATGAAGCCCCCCCTTACAACTCCTGCGAAAGGTATCGTGCCACGTCCGTCCATGCACAATACTGAACCCCTACCACCCCCTGTCTGCGAAAGGTATCGCGGGACTGTACGGCCTGGCGGGCACGGACAACTCGTCTGGCGACCACGTCAAGAAGCTCGACATCCTGTCGAACGACATCATGATCTCCGCGCTCACGGTGCGTAAATGTTGAGACCAAAGGGTATGGACTATGCCGCGGCTCTCACGGGTTGCGTTTTGTGTGCGTGTGTTTCTTTTTTTTTTTTGTTCGCGTGTGTGCATCACAGGCTTTCGTCTTGTTTGTACTGGCGTCTTTACGTTCTTGATCTACATCACGACGTATGCTTTGCGCTGGTGTTTGTTGTTTTGTACGGTGGCGTTCGAGCACGCTGACTGACAAGGCCGCGTGAGAACCGAAAAAAGGTCCCAAAACGTTATTATTTTGTTCCGTATGGCATGTACCCCGTGTGGAGTGTGCAGTTTTGGTGTTTGCGTTTTTCTCTGCGCGGTCTGTGAATCTCTCTGATGTCGCCGTGTTCGCTCCCGGCCTGACGCGTGTTTGTCCAGGAGTCGCACATGTGCGCCGTGCTTGTGTCGGAGGAGAACGAGGACCCGATCATCATCGAGGACTCCAAGTCAGGTCTGGGCCAATCGCCATCGAGCGAGTAGATAACCGACCTTGCTCTTTCTTTGTGCCTATCCACACGTGGTTCGTCAGAATCGCCAACGAAAGCATGTGCTTGAATGCAGATCCTGAAGTAACTAACCTTGCTCCTCTTTGTTGTCTCTCCACACGAAGTTCATCAGAATCACCAACGAAAGCATGTACTTGAATGCACATACTGAAGTACCTGATACGACACAAGATAACACACCTCCTGGACCGATCTTCAAAGCTCGACTTATCAACAGCAGAAACTGTCGCAGGGCCGAAAACGGCAGCTTTGAAGCCGTCTGGTCGAGAGCTCTCTGAAAACTCATCCTTCGTCTATGCATCCTCTTCGTAATCGAGCTTTGGAAATCGGCCCAGGGGGCGTGTTATCTTGTGTCGTATACGGTAGGCACGCACACGCCTGCGTTCTAGAGAATAGCCGTCGGTATTGTCGCCATGCCCCGCACATTAACCGGTCGAGACTGGCTTGTTGTCGCAACTTTTTCCAACGAGTGTTGCGATACTCTGGCCGAGGGAGACTGATCTATATGTTGCGCTTGCGTCTTCGCCAGAGGGGGAGATACAAGAACGGCGGAGCGAAACATGAGTACCCCCCCCCCCCCCCCCCCC